TCGGGGCCGCTTTCCAGGCGCCTTCTCGGTACCGAGCCGAGGTGGACAGTGAGGAGGGTGGGACCGGCCTCCGGACTCCGCAATGTCCTGTTAAGAGGTGTCCTCCGTCTCCACCGCCCCAGTGGGCGGCCTTTACACGGTGAGGACTGAGGCCCCGAGTGCAACGGGCGGTGGGCTGGCCACGGCCTGGTGGGGTGTGGGGATAGACAGGCCCGCCCGCCCGGTTCCGATGGTGGCGGCGCTGAGCGACCTGGTGCGGGTGAGTGGAGGGTGCCCGCAGCCCCCACTCACTCGGACCTATACACACACGTGGCCTGGGACCCCGACAGAGGGGAGGGGCTGCCCCGGGATTCTAAGGCTCGACCCATTCACTACTGGGACCCTGAGATCACTCCAAGCCCAAGGTCTCGAGTCCTGGCCAGGGGTCGTGTGGAAAGTTTCTCATTCCTGGAATCCAGAGGGACGAGGTGTGCAAAGCTGTTTTCCCGCACAGGGACCAGGATGTGCAAATGCTTGCAGGTGCAGCTTGGCTGGGAGTGTTCAGGAAACTGATGTCTGGAGGACAGGACCGTGGCCTGTAATCTGAGGGTGGTGGGAACCACGGAAGGTTTGGAGCAGAAGAGGCAGGTGATCTGACTCTCGTGTTCACAGGCTTTCTCAGGCTGCAGAGTGGAAAACAGAGGGGTGAAGGGAGATAAAAGGAGGCACACAAGGATGCTACCTTAATACATTAGTGAGTGATGGCAACTTGGCCAGAGTGCTGACTGGAGTTGGGAGATGTCATTGGAGTTTGGATCTGACTTTTAAGCCAACCTGATTTTATGTGGAGGGTTAGAGAGGAGGAGGAGGAGAGGATGCCCCACAGATTTTTTGGCCTCTGCAATTACAAGGTGGAGGTGCATCGACCGAAATGGGGAAGTTGGTCGGTGTAGCAGGTTTCAGCAGGATGAAGCAGGTGGATTATGACCCTGCTGAGGCTGTGATGTCCCAGAGACTTCTGAGTGCAGGGCTAAGTTATGCTGAGGGGTTCTGCTTGGAGACATCCAGTTGGCTGTGGCCAGCCTGTGGACTGAGGTGGAGCTCAGGTTCAGATTTAGGAGGGAGCATCTTCAGGTCATGGTGATGGATGCCCTACAGGGACAGCTGAAGACTGGGTGGCTGGCTTGGGTCCCTGGGCAGGGATGGTGGGTGTACAAAGTCAGATGAAGGGAGGAACAGCCACAAGGGAGGGTATGTGTAGGACAGGAGGGTCCAGAAGGTGACCAGGTTCCGTGGGGCGGAGGCTGAGGCGAATGTAGACGGTGGGTGCCAGCGGGGGGGGGGGGGCTGGTGCTTTTTCCACCCTCTCTGGCTCTCCAGCCTTTCTCCTCCCTCTGGGGCCTGTGAATTTCAGTTGAGGTCAAAGTTACAGGATAGCTGAGTCATGTGAGACTCAGTCCTCCAGCACAGGTGGGACAGACATCTGTCATCAGAGCGCAATCCTTTGTAGCCTGAATGGTCAGCTATGTGTACACCTGGTAAAATGGAGACTTTTGGCGAAGTGTCCTTGACCTGAACGTGCCCTGTGGTCTCCCCAGCAGGGCTCTGTGCAGGGTATGCAGTCTGCTCTGTGTGTGGTGGGTGCGCATGCAAGTGTACAGGTGTGCATATCTGTGCGCATGTGGGTGTATGATCACGTTCATGTGCCAGAACATCCAAAGCACAGCCCTCATGGCTCTGAGCATCTATGAATGGGGCTACCGACACCCCCAACCCACCGCCAATTCTACAGGAAGGCTGTCCTGTAGCTGTAACACAGGAAGGCAGCGTTAACTAAGCCCCAGATCCACTTAGTGCCTGAAGCCAGGTGCCCAGTGGACCTTTGGGTTCCATGTACCCAAACTGGCCAAGGCAATTCAATGAGGAAAAGACAATTTCTTCAACCAGTAGTGCTGGAACAATTGCACAGGCATATGCAGTAACCATAAACCTCCACCCACACCTCAAGTCATCTGCAAAAGTTAACTCAAAATTGATCATAGACAATGTGTAAAACTTTTAACCATAAAACTTCTAGAAGAAAGCATAGCGGCCTTGGATTTCTTAAACATACCATAAAAAGCATTACAAGAAAAAGATAAATCAGTAGCCTTCATCAAAATTTTACACTTCTTGTTTTCAACACTCTGAAGAAAATGAAAATGTTAGCCACAGACTGGGAAAGCTATGTGCATGACAAATACTGACAAATGACTTGAATGCAGACTATTTAACTCTTACAACTTAATAGGACAAACAACCTAATTTTAAAGAATGGGCAAGAGTGACTTGAACACTCACTTCACTAAAGAAGATACAGGGATGGCAAATAGGCACACGGCTTCTGTGTAAGATGTTATTTATTTAAGGCTCACAGCACCCCCAGGTGGTCTAGAGACAGTCAGGTGGTAAAGAACATAAACTGGAGCTACACACCATGGCGGGTGTTTAGTTGTGCACCCTTGGACGAGTTACAGAGGCTCTAGGATTCAGGCTCCTCTATGTGTAAGAGCTGACTGACAATGACTCCCCTATGTTTAACGATGGCTGTGGCAGAGGTGCGGGTCTGCAGGTATGCATACCATCACCCACATGGACACCATCGTCAAAGCGTCTCAGCTGCCTAACAGAAAGGACACAGTCACTCCAGGCTGCCAGTCTCTCCCACTCCATTTCCTCGCACCCAGTGTTTCTTTACCACTTAATATACCCACCTGGCTTTTGCATGAATACAAGGAGATGACCCTGCCTCACAGGATCGGGGGTCCAGAGGGCACATCTCCCAGCCTGGCAGACGAGCTTCCTGTCATCATTGCTGGGATGTGATGTGAAACATCCTTTACAACAAGAAAAGGCAGCCTCTTCTCCTGGATCAGCATGAAGGTTTCAGAGCCCCTCTCCCTTCCCCAGATGCACTCTTGGCGTCCAAATAAAAAGATTTAGAACACAGACTCTTTCAGCCTTTCCCAGGAGAGCAGAAATGCAAAAAGGAAAGGAAGAAGGAGAAGTGTGTTTACTTGCAGATGACATGATCCTGTTTGTAAAAAACACCCCAAGGAATCCATTTTAAAAAGAAAATCTATTATAGTAAAGTTTAGCAAGGTGGTAGGATAAAACCCAAAATATATCACCAGCAAACAACCTGAAAATGAAATTCACGAAACCATTCCATTCACAGTAGCCTAAAAAAGAATAGGGTGAGAATACATACATTTAACAAAAAAAGTGCCAATACTTGTACTCTGAAAACTATGAAACGGTGCTAAGAGAAACGGCTAGGGGACAACCCATGTTCATGGGTTAGAAGGCTCAATGTTTTGAAATGACAGTACTCCCACACTGATACACAGATTCCATGCCATTCCTACCAAAACTACAGCTGACGTTCCAGGTAGAAACTAACAAGCTGATCCTAAATTTGTATAGATATACAAGACCTACAACAGCCAAACCAACTTTGGCAAGGAACAAAGTGGGATTTACCTTACCTAATTTCAGAAGTTTTTATAAAGCTAAGGTGATCAAGACAGTGTACTACTGGCATAAGGATAGACAGATCTGTAAATCTAGAGATCAACAGAACAGATCTGAGAGTACCAAAATTCCCTTCATTAATTCTCAACAAAGTTACATTTGGAAGTACACCTTTTCAGCAAATGATTCTGGGAAAATTAGATATCCACATGTAAAAAGATGAATTTAGACCCTTACCTCACACCATACATAAAAGTTACTATGAAAAGCATCATAAACATAAGAGCTAAAACTGAAATTTATAGAAGAAAACAGGCAAAGTGTTTTTAAGTATGACACCAAAAGGAAGTAAATAAAAGGAAAAACTAATAAATTTTACTTCAAGTGTAAAATTTTACATCAAAATGTAAACTTTTACTCTTCAAAAGACACCACTGAGAAAAATAAAAGACAACCTATATACTGAGAGACAATACTTGTGTGTGTGTGTGTGTGTGTGTATATATATATATATATATATATATATATATAATAATATATATATGTGTGTGTGTGTGTGTGTGTGTGTGTGTGTGTGTGTGTGTATATATATATATATATATATATATAAAAATTATATATATACATATGGATTCTGGATACAGAATCTCTGGGGAACTTTACAACTCAATGGTAAGAAGATAACCCTACTAGAAATCAGCAAAAGAGATGAACAGACATTTCATTATGGAAGATAAACAGATGGTTAATAAGCATGTGGAAAGATGCTCGACATCATTACTTATTAGGAAAATGCAGATTAAAACTCCACTGAGATGACTGTTTAATGGGTGCAGAGTCTTAGCTTAGGATGAGGAAGAAATTGTAGAGACATAGAGGGTAACACTTGCACAACTGTGGGGATTCATGCCATTGAACTGTATGCTTAAAATGGTTAAAATGATAAGCTTTATGTATATTTTGCCATGATTAAAAAAATCCATTGAGGTATCATTTCACACCTACTAGGATGACAACACCAAGTCGTCTTGATGTTGGGAAGAAGGTGGAGAAACTGGAACAGTCCTACAGCGCTGATAGGAATATAAAGTGGCACAGACACTTTGGAAAATGGTGTGGGAGTTACTAAAGAGTTAAACACAAACCTACCATATGACTCGGCAATTCTACTCCTAGGAATTGACCTAAGAGAAATGAAAACATGTCTAAGCAAAGATTTGTCGACAAGTGTTCCTAGCAGCCTTATTTATAATTGCCAAGAACTGGAAACAATTAAAAAGACTATCAACTGGTGATGAATAAAATCTGCTATATCTGCACAAGAGAATACTATTCAGCAATAAAATGGAATAAAATACTGATATGTGATATAATATGAATGAACCTCAAAAACGTTATGCAAAGTGATAGAAACCAGACACAAAAGGCTACATGCTGTATGAATCCATGAATAGGAAATATCCAGAAAAGGGAACCGTAGAGACAGGAGATTTGGTGGCTGCCAGGTGCTGGGGGGTGGGAGGAGGTTCTGACTATAAAAGTGCCCAAAGGAACTGTCTGGGGCAATGGGAACGGCGTCAGGTAGTGGCTGCACAACTCCGTAATTAAGTAAAAGCATTAACTTGTACACTTATCCCGGGTGTGGTGTCGTGGGGAGTATTCCCAGCTTCTTCTGGACCAAACACTCTTCCCCAGGAGAAAGCAGGTCAGAAGCTTCAGAAAAGAGGCTTTTGTGCTTTCATTTCCCAGGGGCACGGGGTAGAAATGAAAACTGAGTCTCGGCTGGACAGAGATGCTCCAGACCTTGCTGCTGTGCCCCAAGCCAGGTGTACAGGCCCCCGATGGCTAATCTGGGAGCCCCTCTCCATTCACGCCATCCATTGGCTATGACTCCAACATCCAAGGAGAGTAACTGGAGACAGGTTCACTGTCAAGTAGGACCAGGCAGCGGGGTGGTGGGAAGGGATGAAACCATCACATCATGAGGATCTGATGGAGCACCACAAGGGCATTGCTGGTGTCAGATGCAGGCTTCACACGTCGGCGAATGGGCGTCTTCTCCAGAGGCCCCCGGAAACCGTCCCATCAGGCCCCGAGCTCGGAGCAGTAGTCCAATCCATGCCAAAGTCAGTCACGAGAGGACAGCAAGGCGCCACTCCACTGGGTGCAGGGCCCCGCCCTCAGGGAACTGCAGGCAGGGAACAGGCGACTGCTTATGCTGAGCAACTGTGCAGTGATCATCAAACAACAAGGCTTCTTCCATGAGACCCGGTGGTGCCACAATGCTCCCAGCCCTCCGCACCTCACACAGCACAGCAGGGCAGTGTCTCCCCCCGATGGAGGCCTGTCTGCACAAGGTCTAGCCTATGCCTGAAGGCTACTCGTAGGGCCTCTCTTGAGTGTTAATTCTTTTATACTTAACGAGGTTAAAGAAGAGGCTGATTATTTTAAATAATATGTTAAAAAGGCAGGGGGGACAAGGAGTAGTTAAAGACGTTACTGTATTTCCTGCCCTCCAAAGGCTTTTCCCCAGAGTGAAGTGGCCCGTGCTGGGCAAGGCACAAGTGTGGCGACACCCCTCCGTGCCAGCCATGCACCTGGAGCTTTATCCAGTGTGAAGCACTAGACCCAAACATGCAGGAGCTGCAGCTTTCTGCTCTCCTGCTCACAACACTCACAGTACGGTGACTTGCTGCCGCAAAACAGGATGAGATATGACAGGAGCTTTTCAACATCAGCTGTGCTCATGAGACTTTCTCTTCAATGGGGCCCGTATAAAACAGGTTCCATGTTTTCCTGAAAGCTTTCCTGGAGCTACTGCATTTGCACAACTGCTCTGGGGTGTGAATTTTTTGGTGCTAACGAGAGCAGAGCTCTGAATGGAGAGGCCCACGTTCATCAATGTGGACGTTCCGGTGCAGGGGCAGTGCAAAATCTTGCTCCAGGCTGGGCCTCACTCCCTGCCCTTATAAGGGGTTCCCTGGGGCAAACACTTTGGCACTCAAGGGAGACAGGTCTGGCTGCAGGCTTTCTCATGTCACACTCAAAGATGTGAACACACTCCAGCTTTCTCAGGAGGGAGACAAAGGTGAAGGCCTTCAAAATGCACCAGGGATTTGCTCCCCATTCTGAAGTGTGTTTGATGGTAGAAAAGGGATGCGACCCTGAAACACCTTTCCACATGCTATGCCTTGATTGGGCGTCCCCTCACTGTCACTTCTCCATGGCTTCTGCAGTATGGGGAGTTGACAGGACCTCAGCATCTGATTCCAGACAGGTGCTGGGCAGTGAGGGGAGCCCAGGCCTGGGACCATCGACACTGGGCCCACCTTCCTCAGAGGGAACAAGCCATCCTCGCATTAGAGCAGGTTTTCAGGAACTGTTTAGGGAGATGTATCAGCTCAGGATGTGTTAAGGGGAGGCCAATGGGGGATGACCTGGCCTAAAAGGGGAGAAGGAGAAAGGCTAAAAGGCAAAGGACCAAGAGGGATTAGCCAGGAGACAGAAGTCAGGTGAAGGTCGGATAGGGGAGTGTCAGATAGACAGGAAAGAGGCATGGCTACTCACACTGGTGCCAGGGCAACAGAAGGCACAGCTCAGGTACCAAGAAAGAGGCCAGCCCGCTACCACAGGCCCCTCCACACCTTTCTTGCACTCACCAGAACTAGTCTTCCACGGGCCTCTCTGGCCATGGACTGACTGGAGCTGCCCTTCCACCAGCCAGGTCCCCTGTTGATGTTCAAGCTGGGTGACTGCTTTGGGCCGGTGGGAGCACAGCAGGTAATTCTTCAAGGCATTTGTGAGAGGTTAGCAGCCCCAGGTCCCTGTGATTCACCCTCTGACCTGGTGACCAAGGTGGCTGAGGGCCACTTATGCACCTGAGAGAACCGAACCTGGCAAACTGAACACCCAGGGAAGGCCTCACTAGAAGAGCTCCGTGGCTCCAGAATCAGTGACCCTGTGAGCGCCCATGACGCCAGTAAAGGGTGGACAAGGGACAGATGGCGGAAAACTTTTGCTGGAGGAGGCGTGACAGAGAGATGGAAAAGTCACAGAGCCTGACTGAGTTACCTGACCAGAAAATAACAGAGCTGGGTGTGATGTGCTACTCGGGCAGTGATACTTCTGACCCTGGTTGTCAAAGTCCCAAGACCAAGGGGGTTGGGCTTGTTTACACAGTAGTCTGGGAGGAGAGGTAGCAGGACACGGGCCAGCACTGGGGCCAGCAGCACCTCTCTCAGAAAAACGGCAGCCTGGCCTGGTGAAAGACAGCACCATGCCACAGCAGAAGCCCCGCTGGACCTCACTAAGGAGACCCACTTCTTCAGAAAAAGATCCCTGGGCCCTGCAACACCAGGCAAAGAGCACATGGATTTGATCTAAGCATTGGGCAATGGACCTTGGACCCCAGTCTCCGTCCTGCCGGCAACCTCCTCTTATGCTTCCAAATGCTGTCCCTGGACACTCTTGCTCACCCTTTCACATCTGAGAGCAGGGCCTGTTCCTGGGTGTGCACTCTCCCCACATCCACTGGTGTGTACACAGTGCTTCTCTTTCTCTGCATCCATCTCCTCCACCCAGCCACCAGTTCCTAGTCTGGACTGCGCACACTCACCTCAGGGCCCATCTGTAACCACAACCTAGGACTTTCCTTCCAAAATCGCATTCGCAGATCTTTCCCTGATCCAGGCCACCAGGGCACTGCAGCCTGGGCATCCAGAGGCCAAATGGGAAGTCCTTGTTTGTTCATGACTCATGTGTCACCGCCACTCAGGGGTCTCCAGACAACTCCGACTTTACACCTGCAAAACCCCACCGCTGGTCTTCTCCTGAACACCCTCCTCCTGTCGACCTCCAATCTCCATCTCATTCTTTATCTGAACACTTGGGATGGCCCTTTATCGTCCACTTACTTACATATGTAACAGGAAGTCCTATGACTCCACCTTGAAAAACCCACCTGCAATCTGTTTTTTCTCTCACCTCTCCTGCTTGTTCTGAACAGGACACCTGAAGAATGCAGCCACACTCTCAGGAAGCTGCCTAGTTTCAGCCCCATCACAACTCTTCTCCCACGAGCACGTTCAGTGTGACTACCCAGTATCCACTGGGACAGTTTCAAAATCCTCAGATCATGGCCAGCCTCCTTCCACTGAAAATTTCCTGTGGTTCTCAGCACCCTCCGCCCGTCACAGGTGTAGGATTCCTTTCCTGATGCTCTTGGTTCCCCGCAGCGGAGACATGAGAACTTTCCTGAATGCTCTCAGGTCAGTCTCACCTGCGAGTCTTCGCACATGCACAGTCCTCCGCCTGCACGCTCCACACTTCATCATAACAGTTTCTATAATGGAGACACTTACCTGTGAACGTGACACTGTCCTGAACAACGAGGCCTGCGGCTCAATCGCGGCCTTGGGGAACTGGGGCTCGGAGTCCAGCCGGGTGGAGGCCAGGAGACCCACGTCACCAGTGCCTAGACCATGGGCTCGCTTATCACGCCTGCAGTCCAGCCACACGCTGGGTCACGGCCTCGGGATGGGTGGCCTTTGAGCCCGAGTCTCCTACCCTGGAAAGCGGACACAACGCCAAGGGCGACAACTCCGCGGCGGCCACCGGCACAGACGGCCTTGACGGAGGCCCGGGCGGATACCCCCTCGCGGGGCCGCGCCCTGACGGGCGGAGACACTGAGCTCGGGGCGGCGGAGCACTCGCTGCGGGCACGGGCGTACAGGGCACAGAAGCGGGACCTCCCGGAT